GTGTTCAAAGTCAAATTGTATTCATAGCCAAATTGTATTAATAACACAGATTGTAGTTAATCAAACTTTTAATCAGTTGAGGGTTTCCCAAAATTGCCCTTAGAACTGATCTTATTGTTTTGAGCTTATTCACATCCTTCTTTCAAACATTCTATTTATCTTGCTCCAATCAACTTCTTATTATCTTTAAATTTATATAAAAATCAAATCATCTTTAACCACTTATTAATTACGTTCAACATAACCAAAATGAGATGAACTCTAACAGATCAATCATAATTCACTCAATTAGTGAACTCATCTCAAATTCATCTTTGTCATAAGTGGATCTTCATCTTAGAGTTGATTGATTTGTCTTGAAATTTTGTGAGATTTTAAAATAAGATTTTCTAAGCTGAAAATCACAATTTGGATTAAGTTAAAAGGGGTACAATAGTGAACATTTGAGTCTTTTTTTCCGCAGTGGTTTTGAAAAATTTCTTCTTAGCCTATCCATAGACCGATTGGCACAAGTCAGTTAACCATGTCAGAATTACACAAGCTTGTTGCTGGATTAATGGTCGATTATCAGACTTGTGCCATTCGGGTAGGTTTGTTTCTGTGGTATCTTAATTTTATTAAAAGTAAGTGTTGTCAATAGATTGGAAAATTTGGCAAGAACATCATACAAAGCTTTAGAAACCGTTCTCAGAATTGATGTTTTAAAGAATCAGGAATTAATGTGATAATATAAGATCTTATGAAACTTCACACGAGTATAAAGTACTCAAGAGGGATCAGAGAAATAATAGTATAATAACCAGCCTAATATAAATAACTATTGTAGATTTATGATTAGAAAACCACACTTTAGTCCGGCAAATAAATGACAACATTTAAAACCAGCTCTATACTAAGTATAATAAATTATTCCTTACTCAAACCATAACCACAACCAAGCATGAAATTCCATCCATATCTATCCACATACCTCTCGCTCCATTTATTAAACACCTATCAATCAAGTCATGTAAATGACTCGTCAAGTCCGATCTACTAATAATCTTGTCACATTAAATCAACTAAGTCACACATTTTTAAGTCTGTCGACTTTCAATTTTATTTTTGTTGAGTAATTTTCACTTAAAATATTTATTTAACTTGATTGATATTCGACAGCAGACACGACCTCAAAGCTAAATACAGAATATATGCCAGACGGCGACAAATCGTCTATCGATTCAAATTTTGTTATTTCTTTTCGACTTTCGCAATTTAATTTTTTCATTTTTAAAATTCTTCTGATAATTTACAGTCGACGAGGAGATGTGTCAGGTCTTTGAAAGCAAAAGTGATGCAAGAGAAACTCTTTTGGCCCCTTCTGGGCGTGCATAAATAACAATAAAATATTACTTTTATTGAGAGCTGTTAATCGTTAGGGCTTGACGTTCATTCAAGTGCTGTAAAAATGCATAAAAATGTGTTTATTGCCGTTTTTTTTTCTTCTCTTCCTTCATTCGGAATTTGTGTGTGCGCGCTGTGCTGTTCGGAGAGTTTAGTCAAGTGGCTGCTGCAATATACGATGATTGATAATTATTTTTTGAACAATCTTTTCATTTATGAATGTGATCGTGGAGATTTTATGGATGGGCAAAAATTCAAATTTTCCCAAGGCGTGAAAACTCAGGATTAATCCTGAAAAATCCAAAAAATCCTAAAAAATCACTAAGCCAATAAACATGAAAATGAGAAATCCCTTTTAAATCGCGGAGTTATTCATCAAATGCATCAGGGATTTAAAAGGGATTTCACATTTTCATGTTTATTGGTTCAGGGATTTTTGGGATTTTTCAGGATTAATCCTTAGTTTCCACGCCTTGACTTTTCCGAACTTTGATTTCTGATGATGACCAACAGAGTCTGTCAAACTATAAGTTACTTTGATGATTTTTTACAAGTCTTTGATGGTCTTTGGTTATTTTTGAACAGACTTTTAGGATCTCATCTTGATTTGGACAGTCTCTAAGGGAGTCTTTAGCACTCTTTGTCAGTCTTTAACAGTCTCTGCCGGTCTCAGACAGACTTGAACTGTTTTAAACATTACAAACCAACTCTGATGATCTCGAACAAGCTCTAATCGGGCCTCACCAGACTTTAACGAGCTTTAACAAGTTCATAAGCTCTTACAGATTCTAAGTATCCGTAATTGATCTGATCATTGACCAACAGACTAAAGCATTAACTGACATACGCACAATTAGACACAAAATCCACACCGCCCATCTCTACAGACCCTTTATTCAAACATTCATTGATCACTTTATTACGAGACTTGTTTAAAAAAAATGCTCAATTCAATTTTTATTGTTTGTAACAATTGATTATAATATCGTGTCGATGATATGTCAGACATAAAACTTGTTGAACATTATGCAATATAATTTTTTTGTTTAACAACTTCATATCAATTTTGCTTTTTAATGTTCGTGCCTTTATGGCACATTGAATTACTTACAATTTATTGTTAACGATAGGGAAAATTAATTGATATGATTTAAGAAAGTTCAGGGCAGCTGACTGCATTTTATGAGGTCTTTTCTAGTGAAAGCGGTGCTGATTGTTTGATGACTAACAATAAAAATTTGCATAAAAATTTAATTTATAGCTTTACAATTTATGACAAGCGTCTGCTGATTTACATGAGATTTCTAGCTTTACTTCCTTGTTGTCTTGGGTCTTGATCTAGGATGGAAATAAAATAGAAGTTAATAAAAATAAAATTGAAGAGTTAATTATTTGCTTTGTTAAAAAACAACTATTTTAATGTCAGTTGAAGATTTTTAATTGATTTATTGCGATTGTGATGTGATTTTAATTTATTAATGTCTGAGAAATTATTTTGTAGTATTTTGTGAGATGGGACTGGTTTTAGCTTGTTCAGCAGTCAGCAACAGTCGCAAGTTTCTAAGTAGACTGGACCTACTTCTCTAGCGGCAATTAAGTTCTTACATTGATTCTTACAGCATAATTATATTTACTTTTCTCACAATTTTATTATTATCACTTCTTATCTAAAACAACATTCCAGAAAGTTTGGATTTTTTTTTTCTGAAGGTTCATGATAAGATCTATGTACCTGCCATGCTTACTTCCATAAAAACAAAACGAAACGAAAGCATGATAATAAGACTAGTGAACAAAGCCATCTGTTATTTTGGAGCAATATAGTTTCTTATCAAAACTTAATGATAAAGAATCATTTCTCCAAATATTTGATTTTACATAATTTAAAGGATTTATTTGAAGAATTGTGGATATGCTTCCATTTCTTTTGGAGCAAAGACGTATACCTGATACTCCTCTTACTCCTCCTTTGATCTTGGATCAATTGTATATCATCTATCTGATAAAGAGTTGTGTAGCAAAGAAAAAACGGATTATGAAAAATTATGCTAGCTCAATGTCGAATTTTTTATAGCCCTTAATTCTTAAAATTCATAATTCAACATTGTAGACCAAGTTATGCTCTCAAAAGTATATCATCTTCACTGTGGGAAAACAATACAAAACCTTAACATCATCATCAGCCCTTAAAACAACAAACTTATCTTTTTTAAACTGAAGCACAGATTTGTTCCAATTTGTTTGCGTGCTCAAACATTAAAGTGTTAAGTACTTCGTAATCTCTTGTTTACTTAGCCACGAACGGAACAAGAAGAGGTTTTTGAGAATTGTCGAGAAGAAAGAGGTGCGATAATTCTTCATTTAAGTGCTGAGTACTTCTTTATCTTTTGTTCTGGTTTATATGTTGTAACCGAGTGGCACAATGAAGTTATTAAGGCGATAATATCAACATAAATATTATTTAGAGATAATGGAAGAGCTTTCAAAATACTATGATGGATGCTTGATAGCAAAATCTGAGTTTTGGCGTAGTATGTAGCTCGGGTAGCTTAAAGTTGTTAAGAAATAATAATTACTGTGTTGAAAATCAGAATTAAGTCGTAATGAGAAGTAAAGTGGCTAGTTTGAGAGGCTTATATATACAACATCGCAGTTTAACATATTTGTTCAATTTCTGGGTTTAGTTTCATGAATGTACCTTTACTTGGCTGTCAACTGCGCACTTTTGATTGGGAAAGTCGATCTTTTTTAAACAAATTCGCGCCTAGAGTCTTTAATGCCCCGGATTTTTGAACCTTTTATTCTTAAAAAAATGCTTGAAAATTAGGTCTGTCCGGCATTTTCAAAGCTGACTCTTTTTGACCAAAAGTTGCCAAAAACCGATTGCAATAGTCTCTCGACACATCTGTCCCAATACCTATAAATATGCACTGAAATGCAAGCATGCTCTCACACATGACAAGTGTTTAGACAAACAAAAGAATAATGACATTTGTCATATTTATGTGCAGCACTTCATCTTCATCTTCATCTTCCTCTTCTCACTTTTATTCTTACACATTGTTGAAAGTAAAATAATCGAGAGTGAAATGAATACGACAACGATCTTAATGATAATCTGAATTGAAATGTTTAAATGTGTCAACGACGCAACAGCTTGTGCATATGCAACCTCGTGTAATGCAGCATGAAGAAGACAATAAAGAAAGAAGTGAGAAATGTCAACAAATGAGGGATGGATGTAGACAGAGAAGTTGACAATTATTTATTGCTTGCTCATGAATCATCATCCTTTATTGCTGGTTTAGTTAAAGTTTTATGTAAAAAATGTTAGAATTGTGATGAATTGGCTTTGACGGGAATGTAGATACTTCAATAGCTTGTTTGAACTGCACGTAATCAAATTGTCTGCGTGACTTGGTTTCTAGGAGATAAAAAGGTTGCCTAAGGCTGATACTGACATTTTGGAATCTTACATTAGAGTCATTTTTGGCCTAGGGTATTGTCTAGGGTGAAATCTGACTTAGGGCACTCTTAGTGTGCAATCAAAATTATACTCAACAACAGCAAGATTCACAAATAAATCTAACAATAAACCTTTGTTTTCTCATTTTCAGACTCAAACGTCTAACCATATACCAAATGGAGAATCACTGACGAGTTACAAATTAAATAACTTATCAACAAGAGAAGGTGTTGACAAGAGCTTTCAAGAAATGCAACGAAATAATCAGAATGGTAAGTTGACTGAGTCAACTTGACTCTATCAATAAGAATAAATCAAAACCAAATTCCATTCATTCCAAAATAGATATGTGGACACAAGTAATGCAAAACATCCGACGAACAAAACTCGATGGACTTTGTCGCTGGCCTGCCAAAAAAGTTATGGAAACACCACATCATCATTCAAAAATTTACATGCCAAGAAAGTATGTGATTTATCAATGTAGCGACGATACGTCGTGCTGTGGATCAGCTGAGAAAACATGCGTGGCAAAAAAATATGAGGAGCTGACCTATTACTTCCAAGTTCGATACGTAAGTAATGACTTGTCTTAGTTATTGTGAATTAATAGTGATTGACCTTTTTGTGAACTTACGGAACTTACTATAATATTGATGATCATGTTGATGATGTGGATTCAATAAATTCTTGCTTATTTTAATGGTGTAGAGCAGTGCTGTACGAACTGTTTGCCGCGGTGCACTAGAGTCTATGCCTCGACATCTTAGTTCTTTGTTCTTCGTAAATGGTTTTTAAATTTTGTTTCATGGTTCTGATATCTATGTTCAAGGTTCTATGTTAATGGTTCTTGGTTAATGGTTCTTGTTTCATGGTTCTTGGTTAATGGTTTTTGCTTAATGGTTCTTAATTAATGGTTCTTGATTCTTGATTTTTAATTCTTAGTGGTTATTGAATTTTAATTCTCTAACAGATCCCACAAGAGATGACATAACATTCTCATTAAACTAAACCAAGCATTCTTTCACAAAACTGCAATTCCATCGTAAACTTAAGTCTTTAATCTTCCAACTTGTTTCCATTCAGTTCTTATGATTGCTACAATGCAGTTATTAAACGCATCATTGCTTGTTATTGCAGTTAATAAATCTCTATTCCACATTTTATTTCTAAAGGTTTCTTTCGTAATCAAAGAAAAAATTCTTTTATGTGTTTGGATTAATGGCTAAGGAACGAAAGGTTTATTGGGGTCAACATTTATTATGACTTGGAAAATCATTTCCATTGTGGCATTAGTAGGAAGCGTTGGATTTAAAATGAAGGAATGAAAATTATTTTGCAAAAATATGAAATGAAATGATTGAGTGGGAATTATGGGCTGGAAAGTGATGGAAAGGCATTGTTGGATTAAGTTTTATGAAGTAGGATGGATTTATGGAATTGAAATTGCAATTCAAGGTGTGTGAATTATTTGAATTGCCTTTGGGTTTGTTTGTTTATAGCGTGTGAATTGAAAAATTACAAGTCTACATCCATATCCACAGAAGTTCCTCAAAAAATCAATTAAAAGCTCCAATTCCCACCCACGAAATTCCCACAACACCCATTAAACTGTCGTCACAACATTAATGTGAATTTAATTAAGCTATCAAAATTTCATTTACAATTCGTCAGAAACTTTCTTTTTAAGCCTTGATTCCCCTCGATAATCCCCAAAAACCCAAGCGATTAACCCAATTTTCTCTTATCAAATCCACTTGCTTAATAAATTATTTATGAATGTCATTTCCCTCTTTAATTCACTTTACATATCAAATTAATGTAACTTGTTACCATGACTTCAGAAATAGTTGTAAAAACAACTCAATTTTTCTTTCCATTGAGAGACATTCAATAGCCGTAGCTTTAAATTCATGCTTTGTCACTCGATTATTAATTCTGTTCATTTTATTTATGCAAAATGGGAAAGTTTCCATTCCTTTTTAAAAAAATTTTTACATTGTAAAATGCGAAAGCATAAATCAAGTTTTGTATAGAAATGGCTTCTGTATTCATTGATTATAAGTCTAGCTTCATTAAGTTTCATTTGAATGCAATTTATGGTTTGCTAGGTTAAGTGATTATAGTGATTGTGGAAATGGTTTGAATGACTTGATGAGTTATAGTTTTTTTTCAAGAAAATTAATATTTAATATTTTAAAACTTTCAATTTTTAAGTTTTTTAATTTTATTAAATTTTCAATTGTTAAAATTTTTAAATTTTTAAATTTTCAATTTTTTAAATTTTCAATTTTTTAAATTTTCAATTTTTTAAATTTTCAATTTTTTAAATTTTCAATTTTTTTAATTTTCAACTTTTTAAATTGTCAACTTTTTAAATTTTCATTTTTTTTAAATTTTCGATTTTTTAAATTTTCAATTTTTTAAATTTTCAAATTTTTAAATTTTCAAATTTTTTAATTTTCAATTTTTTAAATTTTTGATTTTTTCATTTTCAATTTTTTAAAATTTTAATATATCATTTGTTTTTAACTCTTCGTCATTAACTCTATTTCACATCTAGTGACCATCAAACCATTGAAAAGTATTTTTGAAATGCAATATAAATTCCTTTTAATATGTAAATGAACTAAACTGACATTCTTAAGTGAGAGCAATAATTCATCATTTAGAATTTAAATATCAATGATCATTACATACCAGAATTAATTACAGTAATGAATGGACAAAGTTAAGACTGCATATATTGGTGCTGTATGCCAAATGAAGCGACATAAATTATATTCGAAGGGGAACTTAAACTACATTTTTTCCTAGCTCGTTGCCAATTAATGCAACTCATTCTTACAATGACTTCACAGAAATGAATTTATACATTTTTAAATGCTCTCTGGCATGGGTTGTGCTTTGTGTGACTTATTATGATCCATTTCATTGATGTTCGTTGACCCAATTTTTAAATTTTGTTTTCTTAAAAAAAATGTTCTTTCATCAAAATATTTGATGGGGAAAACTTTGATGTTTAGGAACGGGCATGCTAGCACTTTGGTATGGCTGGCAGAGAAGACGAATGCCATAGTGTCATCAAACTCATGCTTTGCATACAGACTGACAGACTAAAAACCTGATGAACTGTAAAGCCATGCGTTCAAAACATTCCTAACCTCAAAATACTTTTTAACTTTTATCCTCAATTGTTGAAATTCTTTCCCATCATAATTTACTTAATATCATGTTTTGTGTATTTTAAAGATCTCAATTTCTCTAAATCAACATGATGTTTCAATTTTTTTACTCATTGTTGACACAGTTTCGATTTTATTTGTCTTCGGCTTTTATTATTAAAATTGCCTTTCTCATCGAATTAAATGTTTATTTATAGATCATTATTTTAAAATTTCATTAAATGAATAATTTCAGATCAATCAGACGAGTGCAGTTGAACCTTTAAGAGTACGAAACCACACAGAATGTGAGTGCATTTACAGGAACCAGTCACCACGACCTCCTCGTCCTCCACCATCGTTAAATGTTTGGACAACAACGACAACAACAAGAAGACCACAAGTGCAGATGAGAACAACTACACCAAGATTAATAACGACAACTAGAGCTCCAGCATGCAAATGTCCCCAAAATTTTGAGTCAGTCTTCACAAATGAAGGTAAATGCGAGTGTAAATGCGAAAGAGGTGGTGCTGAGTGCAGGCTGATGTATGAAGGCAAGGAAGGATTCACAATTAGTGATCAGAGGTAAGAATTTTTTGTATTATGGCTCATACTATTGTAGAAATTTGTTGGCTTGTCGGTAATTTACTCAACTTGATAGTCAAGCTAATTTGATAGTCAAGCTAACTTGAAGGTAAAGACTAATCAATTATTAAGTAAACTTGATAGTCAAACCAATTTGATAGCCAAGCCAAATTTATAGTCAAGTCAACTTGACAGTCAATCCAACTCGATATTCAAGTCAACTTGATAGTCATGGTAATAATTTTCCTATCCCAAACAGATGCATTCGAAGCCGTGACTGCACACAGCCCCACTGTCTGTACGGAACCTACCACATGGACTCAGGTCGCTGTCCAGATCGAAATGACAAGATAAGAGGCTTTTCAAGGCAGCAAAATCATCATCACAATCATCATCATCATCAACAGCAGCAGCAGCAACAAAGGTTATGATAAGTGAGAATTTCTAATGTAATTTTATCTGATAAGATATAAAGTTGTAGTTAGTTGATTGAGTAATAATAATCAAGTGACAATGATAATTCAGTACAGCTATAACTATGTGGCGCTATGTTGTAATCATAAAAAAAAATTTAAGTGATTTTAAGGAATTTTTATTTTGTAGCAAATTACTGCTGAATCTATAAAAACTTTATTAAGTGATTAGTATGCAGCAAGTAAGGCAAAACAGCATTTTGCGATTGTCTTTCCAGTGCGGCAAGTTAAACTTTTTTAATTGCATTTCAATCGAGGTTTTGTGATTTAGAAAATGAGCTACCTTAATCGGATAATTGGAGTCTCAAGCCTGTAATCAGTTTGATTTAATAGTGCTAAATGATTGTGGGAACTATAATTATTGAGAAGATTTGAGGCTTGTTAAGGTTAATTTTTTTATTGGACGTGGATAATTATTTTTGTGAATTAGATTTCTGCTTAGTTTTTCAGCTCGAATTGTTGATTTTAAGGTGTAGATTCAGTAAGTAATGGTGTTTTTAACATCAGAATTTCAATTCTCAGTTCAATTGGACTAGTGCAAACTTCAAGAAGTCCCATTCTCAAAAATCAAATATCAGCTTATTAAAGTTCAAATTCAAAACTTCATCCAACTTTACTCAACTTTAACTACTTACAATTAGTAAGATTTTTTTCAAAAAATTTAAATAAATCTGAAAATAATGAAAATCTCACTTGAATAATTAAAATAAAATTGTATGATAATTTGAATTGCCAGATTAGTTTTTAAGCAAATATAATAATTTTTTAAAAAATTGATCAAAAAAAAGTTATGAAAAGCCTTTATTAAATTCTAGTCATTTCCGCTCGTAATAAAAAAATTAATTAGTTTATAAATTTTAATTAATTTATATTAACATAATTACTTTATTTTTTTGAATAAATCATAAATTTTAATGTCTCAATTTTGAAGATTATTTTTTGTAAAATTTAAAATATTCAATCGAAAATGTATTAATTGTTAAGAATTATTTGAAGATGATTTTAAATATTAAGTTTTAGCAAAAAGTGGAGAATTTATAATAAAAAAAATTTAATCTTTAGTTTTTGTAAATACAGACGAAAAATTTACTGTTTTTTATTTCACAAATATTAGAATTTTAAACATTTTTGATGATTTACAAAAAGTTTGGTTTTTCGTAGGGCTGACTTCTAGCATTACTCTAACTAGCTACCTTCAGATAAATTAAATTGAATATAGAGACAGCATTTTACTTTTTATTACGTTTCGTTAGCTATGAGCTAGCTATAGAGCCAACGAGAGAGGTCATATTGAACATTATCCTGCTCTGGAGTCAAGACCAGTGTTGTCCGCAGGGTTGCAATACATGCACCTGTGTACAGGTGAGAACCGTACAATTCCTTGATAAATTGTGAGGTTTTAATAGAATTTTATATGATTTTATTAGAAAAACCTTATAAATTATCAAGGAACTGTACGGTTCTCTTCTGTACACAGGTGCCTGTATCGCAACCCTGGTTGTTCGAACATTTTGAGCCACGACACACCTAAGGGGTAAGTCATGACTTAAGTCGGGACCAGCATGGACACATTAGTGTGCCGCAGCACACAGCTTGGACAACACTGATCTAGACCATAAGAAAATCAACAAAATTATCTTCAGCACCTCTTAATAAACACCATCAAAACAATAATAACAGTAGATACAACTAATGTAAAAAAGAACAGCTTTCTTAACTGACCAATTTTCAGCTCCTTAACTTCCATTTCCGTTTCAGCTCGATTTTCAATCTCGGGAAGCGATTCCTTCATTTTTGGAACTATCGTCATTTCAAAATAATCAAATAATCTATTAAAGATTTTCTTAAGTTCTTTCAACTTTTCAGGCTGTAGCTGATAAAATGCATAGAAGAATGGAATTCTGACAGTAAGTTCAGCATGCTGTCTATCTTCTGAAAAGCAGTCGTAGACATGACTCACAACATCTTCTTCCTTTCGATTTTCGTAGCAAATTTTTGAAATTTCTGTAAATGTTTCCCTAGCTTGCTGATCATCCTCAAAGTATGGATTTGCGTCATTATTGTAGACCAGATACAGTGCAAAATGACAGAATTCATGAGCTATAGCACCAAGGATTTCCCTCTCTGTCGCTGGTTCCAGTAGCTGCTTAGCTGCAATGTAAATTCTACCAGACACATAATATACACTTTGAGAGTATGAGTCGACTGTTGGATCTGCGTGGATCAAGCTGTTGTTCTTGAAGTCAAAGATTATTGAGAATTTTTTGGAAGCTGCGATGACCATGAGGATTATTTTAATGAATGGATTCTCATTTAGGGTCATGTAGGCTTTATTGATAACCTCAAATTTGTCTTTATCATTCTCTGTATTGTAACTTAAGTATGAATTATTTATCAGCACTCTTATGTGCTTGTCAGGCACTGCCTTTTTGTACTTATATTGAATTTCTCTTAAATGCTTCCGTTCCTCATGATTATATTCTTCATAAATGTCATCACTGTTTTCATGAGGACCAAATGAGACTTTGTTCTTGACTAGTGCTTTAAATATATCGACAGATTTATGATCTAATGCAACTTTCAGTGCTGATTCATTGGACAAGCTGTAAAAATGCCTCAAATTTTGATTTTCTGATAAAATTTCTTCAACTTTCGTATAGTTTCTATCTTTTATAGCTTGATGAAGGTTTTCAGTGACTTTATGGAAACTTTTGATATTTTCAGGGCACTTTTCAATATCAAAAGTTGATGGATATGTCAAATTGCCTTCAAGAAGTAACAAAAGTATGTCAAAGTGACCTCCTTCGTAAGCTAAAGTTTGAGCATTTGTGTTCGTTGAGTCGGATTTGACACCTAATTTGAGAAGAATTTTTGTGAGATTTATGTCTCCTGATTCAGCAGCTAACAAGAGTAAACTGTAACCACGTTGATCAATCAGATGATAAATTGTGAGTTGGTTTGGTTCTATAATGTGAGAATGGGTATTAAGGACACCTAAAATTGGAATTCAAACTTAATAATTGATTGTTTAAAAGTTAAAAGCTTGATTGGCCTCACCCAAGTGCCCCTTTTTCAGCGACTCCATGAAGAACTCCTCAACAAACTTAATCAACTGCTCACCATCCTCAATTGACAAGCCATCATAAGACCTCATCGACAAGAAGTGCTGAATGTATTTAGGCTTCCAATAAACATTGAACTTTCCACTTTCTTTTGATATGAAGCTGATGATTGTTGACAGAAAGCTGAACTGCTTGCTCATTTGCTGAATTTCACGAGTATTTAAAGTTTCAAAGTTTTCTTTCACTTCAAACTTGATTAAAGTGATATCATTAAGACTGTCAATTTCTTCATCGATGTTGAATGTTTTAAGGAAGTCGAAAGCATCACTGACTTCATCACAGCTGATTGTCCATTCGTTCTGTTTATAGACTTTTGATATTAAAGGCTGTTAAATAAATGAGAGGAATGTTTAAAAATTCAAAATATAATTTTTTAAACTAAGTTCAGCTTAGAAGTAGGCAGGATCAGACTCAGGGCAAAGGTTGAAGAAACAATCTGTGTTTAAATGATTTGAAAAAATGATGCCTATGCCTTAGATATTGCATGTTACTAGAGAGATCTGTCCGCAATACTGTAGATATGGCTCGAAGAGGATATCTGTAGGAGACAGGCCTGAGCAAAGGGCTCGCGTTAAAACTGGTTACATGTGTATGACGGATAGCAGAAGTGAAATAAGGTGAAGGTACTTCGGTGACCGAGTGGCAGGGATCTCTGATAGAGTGGTCAGAAATCGCCTCTTTTGAGGTTGTGGGTTCGAATTCCCATTTTTACATTAGTATACACATATGGCAGTTATAAAGAGATCTACAAATACTCAATAAAAGTATCTTATAGAATACTTAACTGCATACCTTAGTAAGTAAATCCTGAGCTAATCCAGAAATATCAATAACTGTGCTTTCATGCTCATTTTCGGATCCTACATTCAATACTTTATATTCAGAACTGTCTACTGTATCATCATTGTCATTATCCATGCTTGCTTTCTCGTGTTCTATCGTGATTGTTGGTATGACTTTTGTATCTTCTATGCTGACCACATAGTATGGAGTTGGTTCGCTAGTTTGCCAGTTTGTTGTTACTGTTGATTCTTGGCGGAGTACTAAATATATGAAGATTTGATATTGTAAGTTTTGGATTAATTAAGTTCATATAATGGATCGTGTAGGAATGACACTATTAAATATCTTGAATACAATCCAAATAAACAGATTTTTTTTTCAAACCATTGATTTTTAGAACATTCATCAAATCTGCATCCAAAGATATTTCAAAAAACATGAGTTTTTCATATTGCCGGCAAAAAATATTCAAAACACTAATAATCAGTCAATACAGACAGAAAACAAGTTGTCAGCTCTTATGTATATTGAAATGTTCTATCAATAGGTCACATGAACATCTTCAAGATTTGAATGTATTGCAGATTCTAATGTTAATTGATTTCATTTTCACAAAGCACGTGCGTCGTTAAAAAGCCGTATAGAACTGGTTTGGTTTAATGGCTTGAATTCTTTTCGCATTGATATGAATTTTTACTTATTTTTGCTAAGTTTTGAGTATAAATTTGAATTATTTTGACATTTTTGAGCTTTTTGGATATTAAAATAAATGAATTTTGTGATAAAGCTTGAGTTAAAAATCTTAAATAATTTTTTTTTATCAAATTCAACAAAATTTAATGCACTTACATCCGGTAACATCCATTTTAGGCTCATCGTCACTTAAATCCATTGATCCTTGGAATATTTTCTCACTGTTCATACTTTTCACTCAATTTCTTTTATTTCTTTTAAATCTTTTTCCTCAAACTTAATTTTACTAATTTAAAAAAACTAGAATTATTCGATAAATTTGCCACAAAACCGTTCAAAGCAGGAATTTTATGCCAAAAAACTCCAAAAATTCCAATTGTATCTTCATCGATCCACACAGAATGGAATGTGAAACGTAAATAAATTCAAATTTAGTTTTTTTTTTTCAAAACAAGAATCGTCAAAAACTGGGCAAACAAGTTCTGATGCTTTACAATTTTGGCTAATGTGAAAATTGTGTAGATTTGTGATTTTTGCATGAATTTTATGTCATCGAATTTTAACAATTTGAGCCTTTTTTTGAATGAAATATTTTACTATTGTTAATTATCAGTTATTTGCGACTTTTGAGCTACGGCTCAGTGATTTAATTTTTTTTGGATTCTCTTAAATTTGTGATATTTTTTCTGGCTATACGACATGCAAGTTCATACATGAATAAGCAAGTATTTGATAATGAAAAATCACAATTGTTTATTTTTAACAATAAGTTAAGTTTTAACAATAACATTAAATGACAATGATGTAAAAATGGGTCGAACTGGGTTTTTCGCACTAAAATGACAAGTTTTATTTTCAAAATCTTTAAAACTTAGATCGAAAATCGTTTTATTTGGCAACAAGTTTATGTAAGGGCATACCAATTTATAATAACAACACAACTCCTGGTTTTGCCACTGTACTAAAATTTTTGTAAACTATAAAAATAAATTTAAAAAATTAAATTGAAATAAAATTATTTGTTTTTCATCATTCAAGTTGGATTAAGTTATTCATTTTAGTGCATTTTTTTGTGTAAAGATCATTATTTCTTAAAAGTTTTATATGTTGAGATTTACTCTCGACCAACTTAGAAAGTCAGAAAAGAACTTTGGGAATAGCATAAAGATATTAACAGAGCTATATTAAGAACAATTTGGACAAATTATGTCCAGCAGAAAATTTATTGTGCATCATTTATTACAGCAGCTATTCAAAAGTGATGTCAACTGAATTTTTGGAACTCCGGAAATTTGCAAAATATTTGAATAAACGATTCAATCCGATTTAATGCTTAAAAAATTAACCACAATCCTAATAGTCATTAAAAATTTGGAAAGTATTTAAAAATGAGTTCATCCTCAAAACTTAAATACTAAAGTGAGATTTCAGTTCAATTAAAAACTATTAATTTGTGTCAGCTGATCCATCATAATGTGGAAACAACTTTTAATAATTGAAGTTTTAATACTGGTAAGTTTCAGCTTTGTAATAATTTATATAAACTTGTGATAAACACAAGCAAAACCGCTGAGTTCATCTAGCCTTTAAATAAAAATCAATTACGAAAAAAACAGTCCGTCAAACATTTTAACTGTTCCAAATTTCTCTATTTTTTTTGGGTAAGTTTAAACCAATTTTCATGCGGTAATGCTCAGTAACCAATATGTGAAATACTTCAAATACATTTTTGTCTGATCAACAAAGTGGAACCAGAGCTCGAAGTCGATGAAATTTTGCATGGATTCGACTCCGCCATACAAAATCGATGAAAATCTTTAGTCGACTTCGAGCTCGGTGAAACTATATGATCAGCACTTGATTCTGATATATCACTAGTCTGCCTTTGGATGTACCTGGAAATATCAATTAATTACATCATTTTTACTTTACAGATTTTAATATCCTGCGATGAATCTTCAACAACAACAAGTGAACGACCACTCACCAACATTTTGGATACTGTTGAAAAAAATTCAGTCAATTGCTCGTCAATTATTTTCGAGCATTCCAACAATAGTATACTTGACATATTGAATTGTGAAAATATGTCAAGCGATGTCCTTCAAAGTTTATCAGATTTCTTAAACCAAGCACCAGATTACTTTATTGTTATGATTGGAATGGATGTTATGGATGAGAGCTTTGAAAGTTGGATTAAAAATGATTTTACTGAGAATCTTTCACGTCCAATTGTTTTGAAAATTTACAGTAATTCTGAGGACATTGAAAAAATTTTTATTCTTGACAAAAGTTCCTCAAAAGCTACATTACAATATGCCATGGATTTCCTAAATAAAGTCATGACTACTGATTACTTCTATGAAGACAATCCAGAAATTTTAAAAGATGCAATCAAGAATAATTGCACAATTTGCATCAGATTAGCTTACCTGATTGATGAAAGATTTAGGACAAATTTTACAATTACCGACGATGAAATGGACGCTCTGAGCTGTGATGCAGCATGTTTTAAGGCACTACTAGATTTACCTTATAATTTCAATTTTAATGAATCATCCGATCAAATCTACAAATCAATATTTCACAGCTTTATTGACAAAATAAGGCAATCATTAGGAACAGCTGTTCATATATCTCAGAACTATACAGTCGGTGACTATTTGCGTGATTTTGAGACTAAGTTTCCTTTATTTTGGATTACAGCACTAGCTTGGAAAGAAGCTGAATATCAAATTTTTGAATTTTTAATCCGCAATGATTTTCCATTTCCTGCAAACTTCCTTCAGAGTCGAAAAATCGAGTATGACGATGGAACTAAGCATCAATATGTTAAACATTTGGAGAATTATCTGATTGATTTTGGTGCCTTTCATCGTGACATTCTGGATGGAAATTTAGAAAATGTTAAAAGGTTCTTAAAAAGACATCAGCACCTAGCATTTGCGAGAAACTTAGACAACAAAAGTGCTTTAAAAGTTGCATTTGAAAGCGATAAACTTGAAATCTTCGCTTATTTAAAATCAACTGGAATGAGCTTTGCAGCATACAAGGAACAAGCTGACTATTACAATTCACTTAATAACTCACCACAAGTCGAAACCAAAAAGAAGCAAATTTTTCAACTTAATAGAAAATATTTTGCAAAAGTATTTGAAGTTGATCCAGTGACGAAAATTCTACAAAAGTCACGATTCATTTATAATCATCGGATGTACAACAAGAACCAAATTGTTGATACTTTGGAAGTAGCTTTTAATGAAATTAATGAAACATTTCCGGAGATTATTAATATTATTGCAAGTTCTATTGATTTAGAACTTCTTTTTGACTTTATAAACACAGATATCGCTGACTTAAAATTTGATGCTAATTGCTTTGTAGGCTTTAATAGTGAATTTAATACTTATATTTTTGTAAGTGCAAGGAACTTACTCAGCAAAAATGTTACTAAGTCAAATTATGTTTTAGGGGTAATTGCACATGAACTAATGCACAGCACAATGGAATTCGTCTATGAGAGCTATGCTTATCCATACTATGAAAATGATAATGAAAGGATTCAAGTCATGCAGAATATCAGCAGGACTTGTGAAGAATTTAAGGATGTAGATCCACTTATTAGAGATGCATTCGATTATTATGATGAAAGTGAAATCAATAGTGAATTGATAGCTAGAGTGCCTGACATGCTTCTTACTTACAGACACAACCAGACACACATTGAACACTTAAAAGCTACATTTGAGGATCTTTTCACATTTTATTACAATTTTATTGTTCCTGATATGAAGGAATACATGCTGACTATGGATGTTCGTGAGAAAGTTAGACAAATCAATGACTGGCTTAACTTAGTAGACATGATTAAACCAGATGAGTATGACTACTACGAGGATGATTATGATGATGATATTAAAAATATTGATGAAAATGCGGTAGAAGAAAATGTTAAGGATATCCTTGACTACCTTAACGGAACAAAAAAGGAACAGATCAAAATTTTTACAATTTTAAATGCAAAATCTGTTCTTTATCATCTATACAATCAGCTTAGAAAGTCAAAACTTATTCCAATTTACATGCCAATTTCATTTTCAGAGAAAGGGAACTTCCAGTCGGTCATGTCTAAAATTGATGAGCTTAATGTAGACAGTCCACTTGTTATTTATTGTGATGATAATAATCAAATTGTTATTTTAAGTGAAATTCTGTTAGAAACTACTTTTAGAAGAATTGTAATTGTTAAGGAAGCCAACTTTGAAGATGAATATGAAAAAAGTTTTGATTTTGACAAGCTTAACATCTTAGTTGTGCTCGGATTCTTAATTATTTTTATAATTTTGATTGTTATTTCTTGTGTTTTGTTTTGGAGATCAACCAAAATAGAGGCTAAATTATTATCTAGTCTAAGGTGCTATAAATGAAAACCATAGCTCAGTTATCATTAGAGCATGATTTAAGTAGCTTTAAATTTGAAACAGTGTGGTTTTCCAGTCTGACTGAGAAACAATAAAATAAAAAATTTTCATTTTTATTAATCAGATTTACATGATTTAACTAGTAAGTTATTAACTTCTGTGCAAATCAAACATATGCTTAGGTAAACAGTCAATAAATATGAGAATTTGAAGCAAAGTGATCAACACCTTTGAATATATTTCATGTTAAATGATTTGCTAAATCAAAAATTTTATTTCATGACTAGAATCTACATTATAAAAGCCCAATTCACTGACTCACTGACTCTAGAACGGAAGCCATGTGAAGCCATTTGTTAGGCCGTGTGAAGCCAATGGTGTTGATGTTTGGAATGGTATGGATGTTGATAGGGTGGATGTCAGGTAGAGAGTGGTGGAGTATTTGACAAGATGGGTTCCGGGGGTTAAAGCTTTAGTGGGATTAAGGGGGTCTGAGTTCGAGGAAGTTTGTGAAAAAAAGTCATGTGAAGTTTTGTGGTAGGATTGACCTTAAAAACTCTACGGTTATTTGCGTCTTAGAGTTATTTACAAAAAAAAAAAATTAATCAAATTTAAACCCTGATAACGGGTGCCACGGGTGCCCTCAAATAGCCTACTTTATTCATAATGATGTCGTCATCTGGAAGACACCTTAGCAGCATTATTTTGTCACTTAATCGGGATGGGCATTTGACATTGTGAATTAATGAGGCTATTAATGCTCTTTTTTTCATCTTCCATATTTTATTATGATTTTTGCACAAGATGTGATCGCAAGTGCAGAGTTAAGTAAACATGAATGAATATGTTTTTTATGCAAAAATTATTATTTATTACATCACTTCGATAATTTAAAATATAAAAAAGAATTAATGTAAAAGTTGAAGTTGGACCCTTGCGAGTGTTTTTTGATGGATTTAAAAAATATTAACATTTTATTTAAATTTGGAAAAATATAAAAAAAAGTTTAAGATTAAAAAAAACTAAAATTTGGAAAATTATAAAATTATAAAATTTTGAAATATTAAAAATTCAAAAATTTCAAAAATTTAAAATATTCAAATTTTAAAAAATTTAAAATATTAAAACTTGATTTCTTATGAAAAATTTTGAAAGTTTTTCAGTAATTTTTTTTTGAAATCATAAAATCTTCAAAAAATCACCCTAAAATCTCGTGGGATTGCATATAAAATTTCAAATTAATAACTCTAATGACACTAGTAATGAGTTAAATACGATTTTAGATATACCAATGTGATTGTCGTGGCTGCTCGTTTGTGCTGCTCCCTGTTAAAAAAAAGAAGAAAAGAATAAGAATAGAATACAGAAGGAGATATGAAAAATGAACATTGAATGATTGCACGACAACAAGAATCTCTCGTGATCACATCAGACTGTTAGAATGGAATTATGAGCAAATGTGCTTAGGATTTTTAATGTATGCAAAGAAGTAAGGTCAAAATTTATGGAATTTTAAGGGCACGAAGGGGATTTTTGTGATAAAATTAAAAGTTATTAAGGTTTTAAATTGTTCTAAAAACGCATGTTTATTAATTATTTTGATTTTAAATGTGAATTAATAAAAATTATTAAATTGAAGATTTTATAAGCCAGGAGTTCTCAAACGCATTTAACCGCAAAACTTAAAACTAATTTTAAATGTAATTTATGTTTTGATTTCGCGATTCGCCTAAAAGTTTTGGCAACAAAGTATCGTGTCGCGGTGCGTAGATTGAGAAAAACTGCTGATAATGTCAAAAAGAATATCTAGATATTAATTTACTTTACTTATTGACATAGCCTTCGATGGGTTAAAGATGGTTTGGAATGGTAAATTATTTATAAAGGTAAAAAGCTACACTACTGACACTAGTGATAAAATCAAAGAACCAGAAGTTCCAGAACTCGGTCTCACGAAGACCACACTCTTGATCAAAATTGGCTTAACTGATGCACAAGCTAGAGTGCTTTTTATAATAAAAATAATAAGGGTTGCCATAGCAACTAGCTGTATGTAAATTGTCTTAATTTTAAGCACTAGGGAAACTAATATTTTGCAACTAAGTTTTTTAATTTAAATTTATAACACTACAAAATATATTAAATTGATTATGAATTAAAAGCATTCCGTTCCTGTTCTAAAAATGAATTAAGTTTGTCACTTGACTTACTAGCACTACTTGTGCTGCTCCTGTAACTACTGCCAATACTAATAGTACTCTGATTACTGGTGTTGCTCAAAATACTGCTTCTAATGCTGTCAGGAATTGATCGATACTTTGTTGATGAGCTTCTTCTTAACGTGTTCATCACGTTGCGTTTCTTTTCTGTTTTTGGGATTGAAAAAAATTGAAAATTTATCATTTTGGATCTCAGACGATAACATTGGCTAATTCTTAGGGCTCCCGGGGAATCTTAATCCATTTTGTTGTAAATTAAAGTTTACTTTTATCTCAAACTACCAGAGCAGAGCCTTAGAAACCGTAATTAATCTACTATAGTACTTTAAAATAGCGAATAGAGCTCATATAGCCCGCCTTTTCTTAGACTATCAACACTATCAGTAAGTCAACGTTCTAAATTCAGCATAATACTCTGAATTACAAAAAAATTACTCCATATAACCTCAATTCATATCCATAAAAAACATAATTTTTTCCAATCCACACGATAATTTACATCAAAAAAGAAAGCCTTTCACTTTGGCTATCAGAAAACAAAGCACGTCTTTACATGCTTTATATTCTCAATGTAATCAGCCAAACCCATCAAAGAATTTGCATTAAAAATTGCTAATTTAATTAACTTAAAAGGAAATTCGATAAGAGCATTGAGCGTCCAAGAAGAAAACTTCAAAGAATTTTCATTCTTGTTTAAAAAAAGCCAGAAATTTGCTGAAATTTTCTTCTTGGAAGAGATCAATTAGCATAAATCATATACTCACCAGCTGCTACAAAGTCCATTAACATTCCAGTAATTGCAGTCTTCCATTCAACAACAGTATTTAAGTCTGTATGGAATTCGACCTCTTTGCAGCCGCGCTTCTTGGCAAATAATTTAAATTTAGACTTTCCTTCTTTGTAGATTATTCCTAGTTTATCACTTTCGTAGTGTCCACGGTACTCTAAATATTCACGATTTAATGCTTCTGTAAAGACAATGCATCGCTCGAATAGGAAGACTTTGCCACGGAACTTCTTTCGCTGCTCCCAGTCGTAGATGTCAAATTCGTTCATTTTCTTGAATTTTCCTTGGCATAGGATGTCAATCTGGAATTAAAGATTGCATTTTAGTAAATAAGATTTTCCAGCTCTAGCTCAGTTCTAGAACAGCTCTAGCTCAGCTCTAGTTCAGCTCTAGCTCAGCTCTAGCTCAGCCCTAGTTCAGCTCTAGCTCAGCTCTAGCTCAGCTCTAGCTCAGCTCTAGCTCAGCTCTAGCTCAGCTTTAGCTCAGCTCTAGCTCAGCTCTAGCTCAGCTCTAGCTCAGCTTTAGCTCAGATCTAGCTCAGCTCTAGCTCAGCTCTAGCTCAGCTCTAGCTCAGCTCTAGCTCAGCCCTAGTTCAGCTCTAGCTCAGCTCTAGCTCAGCTCTAGCTCAGCTCTAGCTCAGCTCTAGCTCAGCTCTAGCTCAGCTCTAGCTCAGCTCTAGCTCAGCTCTAGCTCAGCTCTAGCGCAACTCAAGCTCAGCTCTAGCGCAACTCAAGCTCAACTCTAGCTCAGCTCTAGCGCAACTTAAGCTCAGCTCTAGTGCAACTTAAGCTCAGCTCTAGCGCAACTCAAGCTCAACTCTAGCTCAGCTCTAGCTCAGCTCTAGCTCAGCTCTAGCTCAGCTCTAGCTCAGCTCTAGCTCAGCTCTAGCTCTGCTCTAGCTCAGCTCTAGCTCAACATAGCAACTTAGAATAACCATACAAAAATCTACTCACATCATAACAATTCCTAACATCATTAATACTCATTGACTCATTAACCGTATCAAGTAATCTTTGGATATTTTTCTCAGCCACACAGCACGCAGCAATTGACTGTTTTGTATTTTCAATGTCTTTAGAGAGTTCTTTGATGATTTCATTAAGTAAAAGTTGATAACGAGGAAGTCTTTGGATTGGTTGTAGGAGGAAGCTGTTGATGCCTAAACGATCGCCGCACTGATTTTGAATTTGCTACAAAAAAAAAATTTAACAGAAATCAAAAATTTTGAAAACTGAATCGGTAAAAAGCATTTTGAATTATTAAAATCCGTTACTCACTTTCCAATAATGTACATGATAATTGCACAGCAGTTCTGATCGCTTCCTATTAATTGCATAAATAATATAGCCATAAAAGTAATCTCGCGTCACATAACTCGTAAATAATTCCGCAATTTGTTCGACATCCTCACAGCACTCAACTAATTTCGGGTAAAACTCATTGCAATGGAATTTATAAATTGATTCAATATTTCCAAAAACTCGATGTTTTTGGCCACGCAAGGTTTTCGGTAACTCCCGTCGATTCATCACTGTCATGTAATTTACAATTCCATTTTTTAATGATCGAACGTAATTTTCTTCATTTTCTTGAAGCTCTCGAATTATGTTGAAAAGCTTTGATGTGGAAATGCTAAAAGAAAGAATAAGTTTAAAATAATGTTAATTAATTTGCATGTAGAATGCTTGAGATTGATAGATATGAAAGTGAAATGCAAGGGGAAGGTCAGAATAAATTAGATTAAATCTAGAACAACTTAATTTCGAGTAATCATGCTGAATTGATAATTAACAATAATTTGGAAACGTATTGCATAATAGCTGTAAAATACTTTTACTTTTTCATCAATCTTATCGGAAATAAGTGCATGTGATTGTTTGTTTTGCATTGAGCAAACGTTTTATGACTCAATAATTGTAAGTTGTACTATTTTTCAATAATTAGTCATCCTTTTTAATACGTCGTAATAACTTCGTTGTCTTCATGGATCAATCTAAGAACCACAGGTCTGACTGCTTACTTTGGATTAACAATAACTTAACCTAATCCGATGATCAGTGCTCATAGGCACGTAAAATAAATCAATCGACAATTTAATGATCAACTGTTTGAAAGATTGAAGGTTAAACAAGTGAAGATGCGCCAAACCATGGCACTCATACCAAGACCTTCAATTTATAGTGGAATCCGAACAACTCCTTCGATGACATTTCTGCCTGTTGCATACGAAAGAAGACTATGAGCCTCATTTTCAGTACATATGATTCAAATAAGAGCAAGTGAAAATTTTTCAATGCCCAGTCTCGAACTCAGGATCGCTGTGTCGGTGTTACAATAATTAGGTACCGAAGGACTAAACCATTCCACAACCGAGCCACTTCAGCTGGCTTAATCATCAAGAATCCTCAAAATCTTGCTAATATTGCACAAATAACATAATATATTCAACCCCTAAAGCTTAATCTATTCATTGTTTTAAGTAATTTGTCACTATTATGTGATCTACTTCTAGTTTTTACATAAATTCATGACTTGCTTTTAAGATGTTAAACTATGCGGATGTTCTATGTGGATAATAAAAACTATCTAATTGATTTTATCTCATTTGTATACTTCAGTCAATGCTTTGCTAAGTTTTAGCACCATTTTCTTGATTTAAATGAAAATGGTTGCTAGCTTTGAAAACAACAAAATGTAAGAAAATTGCAATGGTATGAAAGGGCAATCACCAGTGACGTCAGATATCTAGATTGCAGAGACAAACAGTTATGTCTTAATTAAAGCAGTTCCACTTTAACCGAAATCTTAATTGTTACAATTATGATTATTATTTTGGTAAATTCAACCCTGCCTTGGAACGGTACAATAGATTTTATCATCGATCAGAATCGCAGTGCCTTCAGCTCGTCGCAACGTGTAGTAACACATCGCTTTGCTGGAACCCTCTCACATTATTTTTATTATTATTAACCCTGCCTTTGTGTTGCATTTTGAATCAGCAATTGAAAGACGGATGCCAGCGATAGAGCAAGTTTTAGGTGACGACTAAGGGAGGTCATGGATTCCAACTGATCTGTACGACCAGTGAAGTAAGTAAGTAAGTGTGTCACATCCCTGCAAATTTGCCAAGAATCATTTGATGAACTCAATTATTAAGGGTTCGTTCACTTATTACGTAACGCACTAGGGGGGGAGGGGGGGTCTAAGATTTTGTTACGGTTTGTTACAGGGGGAGGGGGGGGGGGTCTAAATTTTGTTACGTAACTTTTCAAAAAATATATTTTTTTATAATTTTTTCTATATTAATTTTAAATTTTAAAGGAAGTATAATAAACATTTGATAAACAATTTAAATGAAAAAAATTATTGTTACGTTATGGGGGGGGGGGGGGGGGAGGGGGGGTCTAAGATTTTGTTACGCTTTGTTACAGGGGGGGGAGGGGGGGTCTAAAAACTCGTTTTTTTGCGTTACGTAATAAGTGAACGAGCCCTAAAGAAGTCTTGAATTTAATTGAAATTTTTGGAAAAATAAATTTGAAAAACTTCAGTCCAAAATTCTACAAAAACCACTTCAACTCTCTAATAAATAACAAAACCCAAAAAGATAATGCCAATTATTGATGAAAAACATGTCAATAAAAAAATTAAAACCAAGTCAAATATTTTAGCACTTATTTCAGGTCACTCAAAATATATTTCAAGCCCACCCATTTCACCATTGTTTTAATGAATCACAAAAAAAATTATTTTTAAAATCAAATAATCACACTGATAAGATTATTTGTTTGAGTTTGAATTGAATTATTGGTTGTAAGGAATACAGTTGAATATTTTTTATTTTATCGAACTTTTTGGTGGGTTTAAAATTCCGAATGTGTTTGTTTTTCATGTAAAGGGGTGCATGAATGGGTAGTGCGAAGTGAGTGGAGACTGTTTGATTAAGCTTAAGAGTTTATGGGACATGATAATTTAGTTTGTAGTGACAATTTCATGTTCAATTGATTTTAAACTCTAGATTGTAGCCAAAAAATATGTTTTCATGCTGGTTTGATTAAAATTGTGTCAAGGTTTTTAATAGCAGTGACAAACAAGCCCCAAAAAGTCATTTTATTAACGATTTTTGAAAAAAATAGGTAAAATCTAGTATCAGAATCTTCAGCATCGTTTAAGACACATTCAAAGGAGAAAACAGGTTGCATTTTTTATAATGGTGTAAATTTTACATCAAATATATTTCCCATCACATTGTTTCCCCCTTGACTACATCAGTGAAACCAAAGAACGACCTTTGAACACCATCAAATCCGCAAAATTATTCTCAGACACATCAAAGCTACTCGGACTTCCCAGTTCGAGATAAAACCAATTTTAGAAATTTTTTGGCTCAGTGGTTATCAACCTTTCGACCACGTAACACTTGTTTGTTGGGGTTGATCTTCCACGGAGATCAAGAAACGCTTATTTATGCCTAAAATAATTTTCCACACTTAAAAAATTCTAAAATTCAAAAAATGTTGACCACCCCTGTTTCAAACCAACCACAACCCAAATCCTGCCCAAAAATAATTTGACCTCTGCCCATCCTCAACATCCACTTTTCACATTTTTATCTAATCACAAACTTATATTCACTTTACTCACTTCGAAAGCTGTGATGTAATTGAAGTCGGCCTTGAAATTGTGATTTTCATAGCTGAATGTCTAATGTACTGAGCCTCAACCTCCTCATCTAGGTCATCAGCTGACTCAAAACTGTCATCAGCATGCTGATCAGTATATTTTGTGAAAGTGATCAGAGGCAGGTAGATAGGTGTGACTTCATTGACTTCTGAATTCTGACTTTTAAGTGATTGGTGGGATTTTTGGGATTTTAAGGAACGCTCACTGACGACTGAGGTTTGGTTCTGTAATTTTTGGTTATTATCTTCATTTGTGTCATTATTTTGGATACTGTCAGCTGGCTCTGGATTATCTTCATTTCCTTCGTCGACATCATGCTGATGCTCATCATCCAGCCACCAATTACAGCTCTGATGGAATCCACTCTCCTTGCCCGTTGATAAAATTTCAAATCTTTTTCTCAACTTTTGTACATAAGACATTTTTCCACAATCGTCACACGCACGCATTGATGACGTCTCCGATGATTCATCATCTGCAATAATTCCACTATCGCGTGCTATGTCTGACATCACATGCGAGTGTCAGTCAAGAAAATTTATTATTTTTACTATTTTTTTTCTGTCCTACTCGGAGACTTTTTTTTTCTTTAAATGTGTGAGCACTTGCACCTTACTGAGTGACAAAAAAAAATAAATAAATGATAAAGAGGAACCGAGAAAATTGTGTTCAATTGGAGCGAAGTGATAATGAAAACTGAAATAATTCTCTCAAATATTTTTTTTTGTATTTTTTTCCGTAGACCGCAAATGTGTTGCACGAATGTGTGAATATGAGGAACCTTGTGCAAGTTTCTTATAATTATCAGCTGCTTCTGTCGTATTTTCGTATTGTTTTTGCTTTTGTGGGCTGTAAAATGTATGAAAAATATTTTTTATGAGTGAAATTGTGTGGAGAAATTTTGTGGTGGGTGACCAGATTTTAAGGTTTGTTGGGGGCTTGAAGCATTATTTAACATTTTGACAAAAGTCTCAGACATAAATGGACGTAATTCTGACAAAGTTTCAACTCGATCTGAGAACCTGTTCCCGCTGACTTCACACACGTAACATCCGTACGTATACGCTGGCCTAGTCAAAAACTAATTACGTCCATCGATTTTCGAACATTCTGCTTTCAACAGATAAAACAAGAGCTTGAAAATGATGAAATTTTGTATAGAGTCTAGAATCGTAATATAATATATTTCGTACTACTTCAGAAAGGACTAGAATTCAGTTTAACAACCATGAACCCGAATATCTTTACCTTCAGAAATTTATCTATAACTATAAATTTTATACAAAACTTAAGTCTAGCTACCCGACACATGAAAATAATTATCATTTCGCTCACATATCGTTCATAATTTTTCTCAATTCTTTGAGCTTTTATGACTTACTACCACCTCAAGTTTCATACCTTTATAGTTTATCAATCGTGGTTTATAAAGATAACAAACACTGCCAAGAAACTGATAAAAAACAACAAAAATAAATTTAATGGTATTTTTTCCAAAAAGTGAGGATCAAAAGCCTTTTGCCTGAGTTGCGCAGAATATTAAGCTGCATTTTATTATTTAATTTAAAAAAATATTTAAAACTATTAGGAACAAGTAACAATTAGGGTGTCGATAATGGAAACAAGTAGTGTCTGACTCTTCAAAAAAGTTATTTTGGCTTTGTAAGAATCTCATAGAGACAGAATGCGTGGAAACTAAGGATTAATCCTGAAAAATCCCAAAAATCCTAAAAAAGCCCTGAGCTAATAAACATGGAAATGTCAAATCCCTTTTAAATCCCAGATGCATTTAATGAATAACTTCGGGATTTTAAAAGGGATTTCACATTTTCATGTTTATTGACTCAGGGAGTTTTTAGGATTTTTGGGATTTTTCAAGATTAATCCTGAGTTTCCACGCCTTGTAGAAACTGAATTCGCTATCCAAATCAATGAAAGCTCCTTAATTCCGACTAGACTATTTTAAAATGGAACTAAGGTGAAAACAGCATTATGATAAAATGATTTTATTCAAAAAAAAATATGCGACATCAAAAAGAGTCTGATAACTGGCAAGGCTCTAAGCCACTAAGACACCAAAAGTTGAAAAAAAAGAAAAGCTGCATCACGGGGAAAGTTTCAAAGAATAACGCTTTCAATTTTTGATTTTAAGAATTGACTTTTTAATATTGTGAATCTCATCTTACCATTCAGCAGACTACTAAACATAATAACTAGTGCCTGCGATGCATATGACTAAGGTTACCATCTAATTTTTATGAAAATACAGGACATTTGATAAATTTCCTAAACAATACAGGACACAAAGGAAAATTTGAAAATTGACGGAAATTTTCGTGAAAAAAATACAGCACCTGGAACAAAATTTTCAAAATTATACAGGACAGGGTTTTGAAATACAGGACTGTCCGTTGTAAAACTACGCACATGGTCACCCAACACATGACACAATTAGACAAAATCTATGTAAAATTAAGTATCTGGATCTATAAAGTTGTCTATTTGCAAAGACACAGCTCAGTAGGTTATCCTCATAAAGTTACTATTGCCAAAAATTCGTTTTTGTTGCACAATATCGAGTGCAATCACACATTTTGATGACCTATTAACCAAACATAAATAAAGAAAATAATGAACTTCGTGTGCTTTCATTATGTGAAATATTGACTCAATCAATTAGCTTTATGGCTAATCAAATCATTGATTAATTTCAGCTAATGCGATAACAAGTCACGAAAGGTATTGCTGTAATTCAATTAACTTATTGACATAAGTTGTTGGTAGGTTCGATTATGTCAAAATAGTGAGCGATTAAATAATGAAATAAATTATAAAGTCATCGATTCTCAAGACTCTTTCCCAATGTTGTTTTTTGAGGTTAACTTATTCTCATGGATCAGGATTTTTTAAACTAGAATGATAATCTATATGGACAAAGTTAACTTTCCCGAGTGGTAAAAACTAGTAAAAAGCTTGCCATTGACTTGCCTATTCATAGCGAGTAAGTATCCATTGACGTGCCTTTGCAACTAGACTTAGGGACGACTAATGACATATTTTGCACGTTCCATTAAACTGGACATAGGTATTGCACATATGTCTGGTTAAAGTCGTCTAGTTCTGTTTGTCTAATAAATTTTTGCAATTAAAAAAGACTGTTAAATGTTTGTCCATTAATGGACTTTGGCTTGAATGTGGCTTTTGATGTTAAATACACTGAATTAGCGAGGGATTGGGAAATTCGAAGTCAGACTTAAATTGTTCTTCTTAAATTAGAACTAAACTATTAAGTCTAGTTTGTCACTGCACATGACCTAAAATCTGTTATAAAATAGATTTTCTTATGTCAAAATAAAATTTTACGTTTTTATCCACGATTAAGCTTTAAAAACTTCAAAAGCATGATCATAAAAATCCCAAAAATTATTCAAATTCTTCCCTCGCTTTGTAGCTTTTCCAATCTAAACCGATTCAAATTATCCATCAGCGCCATCTCCTGGCCATTCTGTGAACCCCTTTTATCAGTTTTGCATACGTGTTAGAGCAAAAATAAAAAGTTTTCATCACTCTCAAAAAAATGTAAACATTTGCATTCAATTCGGAAACTTTATTTGTGTTTTGATGAAATTCAATTTAATTACGTGTCGCATCGCACCGCAAACGGTCGTAAATTATACAAGAAAATTAAATTTTTCATTTAAACTTGAAGTCATTCGCGGAAAATTCTGAATTTTGTGAAAAACTTTTGAAAAATTATTTTTGAGGTAGAAAAGTGTAAATTTAGATTTTTATTTAAAATTTGTTGGATTTTTGAGGAATTTGTGACTGATTGGATCTGGAAATTACTAGCGATTAAGATTAACAAAGTTTGATTTTGCAAATTAATTCATTAATCACGGATTGCACAAATGTAAATAAATCGTGACTCATTCGGTCAAATTGCATGAAAAATTTACAGTTTTTATTGAATGTCATTTAACTGTAATTTGATGACAACTGCATGCTTTATTAGATCATTTTCACATTTCTTACAGTCAATGGATTTTGCATTGACAACTATGTATTTAAATTGATAATTCATGGACATTGAATAATTGATGATTAATGATTTTTTTTTGTTTTGATGACCAAAGCAAGAAATTGTCTAGAAAAATTATGAAATTGAGTGAACATTAGTGTCCGGGTTGTGTCTAATTGACTGCTACAATATCATTAAAATGTGGCTAATACAGTGATTTGGACTTTGGAATATCCCACCCCGGTGGATACAGCTAGTTAAAGTCGATTAATGGGCAAACATTTAACAGTCTTTTAACTTGCCAAAATTTATAAGACATACAGAACTAGACTTTAACTCGACTTTAATTAGACATATGTGCAATACCTATGTCCAGTTAAATGAAACGTACAAAATATGTCATTTGTCGTCTCTAAGTCTTGTTCCAAAAGCAAGTCAATGGCAAGCTTTTAACTTGTTCTTTGTCCACTCGGCACGAGCTGTATGATTTGAGCGGTTTTTGTATATCATTTCTCCAAGTGTTCCGTGGCACAATAATAGATAAATGTGACTAGATGGACTTTTTTGGCCATGTTCTTAGTAAAAGCTTCGACTAATGTCCTGAACTTTTTGAGATTGCTTTTTAATGTCCACAAAACTCATTTTAGACTTCATTCATAATAATTTGATTCTAGGAACTGTTTCATAATTTCTGATGACTTACAACAGGCTTTTAACTTTCTTTTAAAAAAACAACCTAAGTAGCTACGCATATGTTTACTTCTGATTATCAGCTAATTCATTAGATTCTTTGAAATTAAAGATAAATGCGACATAAACTTTTATTGCCTTGTTTTCTTTCTTCAAAATTTAAGTTTATTTTTATTCAGAGAAGAAGCCAGAAAAAATTTCCAGGATAGGGACTGTGGATATGGCTCGAAGAACATATCTGTAGTAGATAGGCCTGAGCATAGGGATCGCGTTGAGACTGTTTATGTGTGTATGATGGATAGCTGAAGTGAGATAAGTATTTCGGTGACCGAGTGGCAGGGATCTGAAATCGAGTGGTTAGAGATCGCCTCTTTTGAGGTCGTGGGTTCGATTCCCATCGAACCCGACTTGTTTTCCATTAGTATACAAATATGGCAGTTATAGAGAGATCTACAAGGACGTAATTGTTTTTTGTGGCCACACGCTTGGTGTTGTCTATTCATTGATACCTCAACAATTCCTTAATGATTAGATTACTTATTTGAAAGCCGAAAAACTCAGTGCTTGATTAAAATCAAAGATCCACAACAATGTGAATTTGTCAAGATTCAGAATAGATCTAGCATAAAAACTCAATTAAAAACACCTAAAATAAATTAGATTAGCTTAAAAACATTCAAATTTTAAACTTATTAAGCATTAAAATAAGACCTAGACAGCTTTAAAGATCTTTCAAATTGTCTCCAGCATTTTCCTTAACTTCACAAACATTAAGTCAACTGTTCAACTCCAAACAAACTGAATCAACACCAAAGCTTTTAAACAACAATATTTCCAGTCGATCAGTTCCTCTCAGCTGTTTCTCAGTCCTCTCAAACTCCAACAACGTTCAACATGATCCAAAAAATAAAAATTTATCTTGCAGAACTCAAAACAAAAACAAAAGTTTCCACAGCACAAGCAGTTCCATAAAGAG